CGTCTGTCAATTAATACTAATAGTATATTGTATTTTTTGTTAGTTAAAAATAGTTAAGCGAAAAATGTTACAATTGACCCCACTCTCCCTTACTTACTTTGACAGCCAGTTTTCCTAAACGGAGTGACATTTCATCAGTTAAACAACATGAATTCCGATCATTTTCTGAAATATCTTGTACTTCCGTCCCTCCAGATTGATTCCCTTAAATATAAAATATATTATAAAGTTTTATTAATAGCAGTAACTTGTTATTAAATTTAAATAAAAACAATAGTTTATTATAAAATTTAAGCAAAAGCAATTGTTTATTATAATGTTCAAGTAAAACCAATAGTTTATTATAAAGAAATCAAAGCAATAGTTTATTACAAGGAAATCGAAACAATAGTTTATTATTAAGTTTAAATAAAAGCAATATTTTATTGTTAAGCATAAATAAAAGCAATAATTATTACGAAGTTTAAATAAAAACAATAGTTTCTTATGAAATTTAAATAAAAGTAATATTTAAATATAAAGTAAAATAAAGTTAAACAAAGTTAAATAAAATCACTAGCCATAAATTGCGCGAAATAAGAAGAGAACACCATGATTAAATTTTGATCTAACGATAGTATTTTCACGTACTAAGGCTCGGCTTAATCGAGTCCTTAACCTTGAATATTTCAATTAATTACCGCGGACGATATTTTAAGTTACGAAAGAAGACACAAAGAAGTTTTAACTCTAAATAAACATGCCTTTTTCCGACGAATTTGGATTATGACTCCAAAAATATGGGATGGGTTCCGCAATTTGGAAAATACTGTCCCAAAAGTTTCGTCAAGAGAACAGTTGAAAGTTTCCATCCCTTCGATAATGTTAATTTTCGATTTTGCACATTTCGCCATATATCGAAAAATTTTTAAACGAATCAAAAAAATTTTGCATTCTATTCTGAAATTTATTTTTCAAAGACAATTTCTTACAAATGTATTAAAAATTTATTTAAATTTAATTAAAAGTAATTCAGTGTGTTCGCTTTTTCATTTTGAACACAGTACAAATGCTAAAAGAATTTTCAAAAAAAAAAAAAAAAAAAAANAAAAAAAAAAAAACAGATTTTGTGTCAATTTTATTTTTTACTCTGAGACATGCAGGAAATTTATTTTATTTTGTAACATTCATTGAATCGCTGACCCAATTTTGAGTATACATACGACTACCAGTGTTCAAAAAGGTAGCATTGCAATTTTGAACCCGATCCCGAAGACAAGGGAACTCTTGGATCAAGTATTTGGTGATACTTGTATCGGTTAGCCACGGTTAACTTGATGGCAAGGAACTGATGGCTTTAACCCATTATACATCAGCTACTGAGGACATTTTACGTCACTGTGATAGCCATTGAGGACACTGTGGTCGGTGCAAACCAGGTGTGGAATATTCGTATCCACCAGCCATCGCTGGGATTCGTACCTGGATCAACTCATTAGGAGGCGAGAGCTCTATCCTCTGAGCCACCGGCTCACATTACAGGAATTGAAAAAAATTATGGAAGCACTTCTATATCTCTCTGTAAACAATCTTGCTTTCAGCAGCAAATGTCTTGGACGATTTTACATGTCATAATTGTTGGCACAATTTTAAAGATAATGCTTGAAGATTTCAGAAATAGTGACACTTTTATCCATGCAAAGAATGCATCGACCAAATTTAGTGTGATAAGTTAAATGTTTCTTTTTTCAATATCACTACAATTGAAAAAGCATTCTGTTATGAATATTGCAATCCTATAGAGTTATTTCAAAACTGTTGATATTAAAACTAAAACTAAATTATTAATTTTCTCTCCTCTTTTGGTCGTTTAGAGTTTTGTATGGATAAAAATGTAATCATTTTTAGAAACTTCAAGAATGATCTTTTAAACTGTGCCAATAATTTCACCGTGAAAAATTTTTCAAAACGTTTGCTAAATGAAAAAGCATCCATATAGAGTTAAAAGTGTTACCATAATTTTTTTCAATCACTGTATTTTATGATTGTGTATTTTCTATATTTTACTTTTAATTTAAATAAACACAATACCTTATGAAAATGCCTTTATAATTTAATTTATAATCTGATTTTTTATTCTGAAACTTTTTTTAAAAAAGAATAATAGCTTGTTAATATAATCACCTTGGAGTACAATTCTTTGACGTTTGGCACCAATTATTTTATTGTGAACATACAAGTTGTCTTCAAAATCTCTCATAAGCTCAACTGTATCTGGTTCTTCTGAGGCCGAAACAACAGACTGATATAAAAAAATAATACAGAACATTTAATTGTGTGTGTCACTTATTAGAAAAAATAACAATAAAGAAAGGCGAATATACGTGCCATTTCTTCTGTTCTTTTTTTTATTTTCACGAAAACAAAATTATTCCATACTTATAATATCTAATTTAAACTTTGTGAACTAACATGGTAAAGTACTTAATTTTAAATTGGTCATTGCTTAAATAAATTCTACCGAAAGTTCTAAATAGTGTCCCGTAAATAACAGAGAATTCCAAAAATATTCAATTAAATTACAATTTAATTGAATATTTTTCGAATTGAATTAATTGAATATTTATATATAAAAAAATGTAACGTGACGAGCAATAATGCGATTGAAATCCAGATGTAAATCCAGCAAAATAACAGCAGCAAAAAATTTATTAATTAAAATTCAAAACATGAAACAAAACAATTAACAAGTCCGCAGCGGCCAAAATGCAGAAACATAAAAATATAGCCTAATAGAAGAAAAACCAACCTATAGAGCCGACTTCTCTTCATCTACTCTTTCTCAATTCTATAACTAGGTTCGTGATTAATTCGCCCTCTAGCTGTGAGCCAAAGAAATGTTTGCTTAGTAAATTTGTGTGGGCATATGTTAATTGCATCACACTGCTCAGATTGCTCTGTATGTTGATTGCATCACGCGTCGGATTGCTCAGTATGTTGATTGCATCACATTCAGATTGAAAACACGAGCCAAAATTTTTTTTTAATTAAATATGGTTTAGTAGTTTTTCTTAATAAGCAGGGCCATCTGTTGGCACATTTAATCACTAATTCTAAATTAGGATCGAGATAAATCATCTGGTTTCCTAAGCAAAACGAAGCAAGTCTTAGATTTCTTATGTCTAACTCTTTCTAGTTTACGCTAAAATTTTAAGCCGTCAGGCATTTTGGGGTCGGTACTAGAATTTATACACAAACACAGTGTCAATTCTTAACTATTTGCTAGTATTTATGCATATAATACTAATTATAAAATTCACTAATTTGAAAGCCCACCTCTCCAAGTCCATAGTTTGCGGTGATGGTCATCTTAGTTGGATTTCCAGTGAGGGGATCACAAGTGAATAATACACCAGCCACGTCAGAGGGTACCATCTTCTGTATAACGACTGCCATTGGTGAATTTATTATCTGACCATTCTGCCTAAAAATGAAATTTTATTAAACAATAATATTTTTTTCATTGCAGACGAAAGGTTTAGAGCAACACTATTTGAAATTTCCCTGAAGAATTGATTAAATAAAAAGTTTTAACTATTTTTTTTAACCATAATATACCAAAGCAGCAAATAACCATGAAAAAGATTGTGTTCAAACTACAGTGAGAAAAAAACCGCTTATTGACTGTATTCACCTATAACGGTTAAACAAACAGAATTTTACCATGGCAACTGAGCCCTACTTTTAAAGCCACATAGTTCCTTGAAGCTAGGCCCATATTATAGCCTAGAGAGCTAATCTGTCAATCTCATGACCAGCTGAACGGAGTTTGAATCTCAGCATAACATTATTTCTTCCATTCCTGCAACACATAAATAGCTACCAGTGTGTTGCCCTTCCTAATTGGTGACCCTGAGCTATTAGAATACAATACTCTCAGTCACGCATGGCACCATAAAGCTGCTTAACACCAAAAGTACAACATTTCCCCTCGTTTATGTTAGATAGTCCCAAAAGATGAACTAATTAAGCCATATTCCTCGGTTTAATTCCAATGAGTTCAGGCTTTTTATTAGGTTCACTACATAACGAAAAACCTAACTCCAATGTCCAGTTAATTTTCATTTTCACGGTATTGGAACCATGCTAGTTGAAAATGGTTAAAAAATGCATAGTTTTGTAGTCATAGTTTTTAAACCATACAAGTTGCAAAACGGTTTTAAAACTGTGAAGGTAAAAAAAAATTCTAAACCGTAAATTTTAAGGTAAATTGGATGAACCAAAGCAGCTGATTATTTTTCCGTAATTTTAGAATTTAAATTCTAACAGTGAAAGAAAAAATCACCTATCATTTCGAGCAAGAAAAACAGCGAATGGTGGAGACTATATTATTATTTAAGGATACATAAGATTCACATGACTTTATAGACTGTTACAAAGATATAAAATTAACACAACTCCTCATCAGAAGCTTTTATAAATAGAAGAGGATAAAATGAATACAAAGTCAATGCGTTATTGAGAAAATATACTGATTAAAAAACGCATAACTGCTGTATAAGTATTTACTGTGAAAAAGTTCATTTTTCGGATAATAAAGAACAGAAATTCATTTTTTAGACATAACTGTAAACTTTTTCTTTAATAAATCTTATTTCTGCTTTGCAACCATCGTTGAGCATTTGACCCAATTTTGGGTTTACGACTACTAATGTTCAACTCCGTAGCCTTGTAATTCTGAACCCAATCCAGAAGACAAGGGAACTCCTGGATCAAGTATTGGGAGAAATTTTGCTTTCGTGAAAGCCTTTTTAATGAATCTAACCCGTATTTGCGTTATACGGAGAGGAAAACAACGAAAACCTCCCACGGTTAGCCTGACAGCAAGGGGACTCTAACACGTGATCCGTCTACCACTAAGGATATTTTAACGTCAGCACTGTGGTCGGTGAGAGCTGGGTTCGAGATTCGTATCGACAAGTCATCGCTGGGATTCGAAACCAGTTCACCTCATTTGGAAGGCAAACGCTCTATCCCCTGAGCCACCACGGTTCTCTTTAGCAAATTGTGTATATTGATTATGTAAAGTAATTATTACAAACAAAATCGTACTTACTTTTTGTATTGAGTTGCTATGTGGCTAAATTGAGATGCCCAACATTTCTTCACGGCAGTGAAAATCTATAAAATTAGTTAAAAACGTTAAAAAATTTCAAACATGCTTTTTTTCGTGCAGTAACAAAAAGTAATAGTTATACAGCACCATGATAATTTTTCTTATAAAAATGATTAATGTATAACACAGGGGAAGAATTTTTTCTTGGGAAAAAGGCCGCTAACGGCCCCAGATATATTTCGATGATGATGATGAATTTTTTCTTTTGTTTCACGTTAGATCTATCTTCTGTCAGATCTTAAATACAATCATATCCTAATTTCAAATCTGCAATCGGATTCTAACTCTAACCTACAGTTTTTTTTTTTTTTCATTTTTTAAACTTGTAAATTTAGATAAATAATACAGAGATGCCAACTGCTCCGGGCACACCAAAATAATTAAATAAAACGGTAAATAACTACGAAGTAAATTTTGCAAATATTTGACTATTTCTGCCTGCTTTTTAAGAGGTATAGCATGACATAAGTACTATAAAGTGGTGAATTACATAAGCCTACGAATTATTTAGAAATAGTGGTGGATAAAAATCTACTAAATTGAATTTATTATACCAAGAATCACAATTGATAAACTACCACTTTAAAATATATATTTGCTGTCCGGAGCAAGTTGGTATCTCTGATAATAAACTGAAAAAAATCTGTTACGTTAGGAGCAAAACTAATTTCAGATCTGTAATCCTCACACTCGAATTAGGCAAGCTGAAGTAAATGCAATAAAAAAAATTGTTTTTCAGAGTAATCATCAATTCACAAAGTAATGAAACAACACAAAGAATCGAATTTCGATAGTCCTAGTGTTTTGATTTTATTGGGGACCTGGACCGCGAAGCGGCCCCTATCCCATTCATCTGGAATTTTAGAACAGTTTTGGTTGAGCAATGAGGTAAGCAAGCAATGGAGTTGCTTTTATGAATGGTTCAAGCTCTTTGCTTGAATAACTAAAAAGGAATCAAAAATAAATTGAGCAGATTGCTCTAAACTGTGTTTGTTTGATTTTGGAGTTGTTCAGAATTGTATCAGCATGAGGAAACGTTATTTTCAGAAAGGTTGATGAAATTATTTGTTTTGATAGTTATGATATGAGGCGTCGGAGGTGAAATGTGCAGCTATCGGTCTGTAGTTTTTATCTTTGATATAATTTTCAAATTTCATTCATTTCATTAAAATTTGCTGTTTTACATTCTATGGCTTTATCGAAAAAATCTGCGTTTAGCTTGTATGTATGCTGTGATAGAGTTGGTAATTTGAGGTCTGCATGTATATTGGTATTCCGGATGAACCATCTTGCGCAGGTTATTTTCCTAAGGATCTTGTTTTGGCATTGGTTTAATTTCTTCAGTAGATGTTGAAGTATTGTTGTCCAGGCAGGTGAGACGTAGGTAAGTATGGGGCGGATCATTGCTGTATATAGTAGCT